AGGAAAGCAATTCCATTTGTAATAGCCCCACAAAAAATAAAATACCTAGGAATTAACTTAACCAAAGAAGTGAAGGACCTCTATGATGAAAACTTTAAAACCCTGAAAAAGGAAATCAAAACAGAACTTAGAAAGTGGAAAAACCTCCCATGCTCCTGGATTGGAAGGATCAACATCATGAAAATGACAATACTTCCCAAGACTATCTACAAATTCAATGCGATACCTATCAGTATTCCAACCTCATTCTTCAAGGAAATAGAAGCGGCAATCCAAAAATTCCTATGGAACAATAAAAGACCCTGAATAGCAAAACGATCCTCAACAGAAAGAACAGTGCTGGAGGACTATCAATACCAAATTTCACACTCTACTACAAAGCCAGTCATCAAAACAGCTTGGCACTGGCACAAGAACAGACCTTAGGACCAATGGAGTAGAATTGAAAACCCAGAAATGAGCCCACAGACCTATAGCCATCTAATCTTTGATAAGGGAGCTAAAAAAAAAAAAAAGAATGGAAAAAAGACAGCCTCTTCAGTAAATGGTGCTGGCAAGTGATTGGTTAATCACTTGTAGAAAACTAAAGCTAGATCCTTATATATCACCCTGCACCTGAATCAACGCCAAGTGGATCAAAGACCTGATAGTCTCCCTCATTTCTTTAACCCTATCTTCTGCCCCTACCATTTTAGTAATATCCTACTAGCCATATACACCAATAACCTCTGTGGTGAGTCCAGTAGGTTTTGGTTCTTATTCTATACTACTGCATGATTTGAAGACCTTTGCCAATTGGTCCTTTCTCAGTTACTGTTTTCAAATCTATAATCCAAGCTTGGATTTGTAGGAGTCTTCAGGCTCCCACTTCTCACACACTATTTTGGTTTGATTTTTTTTTTAAAGAGATGCTGGTCTTGCAATGTCTCTCAAGCTGGCCTAAACTTCTGAGCTCAAGTGAGCCTTCCTATTTCAGTCTTCCATCCATTTGCGGGTTATAAATGATCATAATCATGTCCATCTTCAATTGTTTTTAGTGACCCAGATGTGTACTTAATCATTCTTAAACATTAGAACCTACAAGTTGTTATACAGTGTCTTTCTTAAGATATCTGGTCTCAAGGAATGGAAAAAAAAAGCAAATGTGTATTATGTTAGAAAAATACTATATTGAGTCGTAAATAGTAGATTAGTATATCTGAATAACCTATTTGGGGAAGAGGTGAAATTTTTATCTAATTATATAATGTTTTTTAACTCTTCTAATTCAGCTTCAGTCTGGGAGATCTTAAGGCAGAGAACTATTGTTTTTTTCCAATATCTACCAATCTGTCTCTGCTTTTAACATCTGCTTAGGCTATATTAGTCTACCCCATAGTACAATTTTACTTACTTGACATAGAACACTGTACAATTTGTTCATTTGTTCTTGCTGCTTGCCATGTATTAGAAGAAGAGTTGACACATGTTGTTCTTTAGATGGAACTACTGTTGTAGCCTGCAAAAATAATTAGTCAGAGATAAAACATAAAGCAAATGATTTGATTTTAAATAAAACAAATATGGAGAAATTAGTAAATTCTGAAATACTCCAAAAATTTCTTTAATAATAAATTAAAATAATGTGTTGTGTATTAACCTGTAAATAATTTTTAGGTTCCAAAAACTGAAGTTTTAATATTTTGACAATATTTACATGATAATATGTAAGACTATTTTTAATCTCTCAAAACATTGTAATATATACAGTTAAAAATTGAGATTATCATAGTCTTTGGCTACTTGATAAATAAATGTACAAAGCAGAATTTGGAAATTGCACTGGTATCTGTAACTTGAAGAAATTTATCTAACTACAAACAAAATAAACATAGAAATTTGTAAAATCTAATTAGGTCTTCATTTTGAAATATTATACATTTTTATTTCTTTGTTCTAACTGACTTTATGGGTTTGTATGCTTTCAGGTAATTCAAAATTCTATCTTTCTAAAGGTAAGGAGTTATGGAGCACATATATGAAATGCTGTGCAGTTAAGAGTAATTAATAATGATTATATTGCCCATTGATTAATAAATCCACTTTATTGAGATTACTTATTACAGGAAATTTTAAAATGACTATGTGAATGGATCAATGAAAGAAAAAGAGAGTCTTCATGTTTTGAAAGATTGTTGAAATACAATAGAGGACAGGATTTGTTAAAGATATCATTTAAGTGGATTCATCACAGATAATTTATCACATATTTTCTGAGAAGACAGTTTTTTTTCTTCTTATTAGACTCCTATGTCTAAATAGTTCAGTTAACATCTATTCCAGTATAGCCTATGCATTAACTAAGGAGTAATTCTTTTACACCAATAATCGGATTCCCTGTGAACTATAAAACAATGCACCTGTACAAAGTGACTTTAAAAAAAATTGAGTCTAAATCATCCAATATGTGCCTGTAGATACCACTGTGTCACAATCATTTTCTAGTCTTCTTTTATCTTTAGTAAAACTATCTTAGTTTTCAGTCATATATTATGACTTGTAAAAGTATCTCATATAGATTATCATATTGAAACTGGGGCATGGGTAGAGTGCTTGAAAAGCAAACTCAAAGTCTAAGTTCAAATCCCAGGACCATCAAAACCAAATAATCATATTAAGGCCTAAAGAAAATTCATTAATATCCAGAGCAGATTTTTGTAATGGATGCTGATACCTGAAATAGCCATGAAATATAATAAATAGAATGCTTATTTGTCTCTGATTAGATGGGAAGGACTGAACAGTTCACTGAGTACTACAACAGGGAGCCACAAAAAATGTACTTGTCACAAAGAACTCTTCTGGTACAAATTCATCTCAGTACCTGAAGGTTCTTTAGAATTTTACTAGTAGAAGAGTTATCATGTTGTATGCCAGTGGCTCATGGCTATAATCCTAGCTAATAGAAGGGTGAGATTCGAGGATTGTGGCAGACCAGCTCAGGCAGACCAAAAGTCCATGAGACTCTTTTCTCCAATTAACCATTAAAAAGCTGAAAGGAGAACGCGACTCAAATGGTAGGGTGCTAGCCACAAGCAAAATACTTAAGGAACAGCACCCAGTCCCTGAGTTCAAGCTCCAGTACTTCTAGGAACCTAAGCATAAGCCTACTACACTATGTATTAGCTTCCAAAATACCTTGATTTTAGATCCCATCTCAGTCTGAAGAGCAAGGAGATGCACTTCTCTCATTATATAATATAGAAAGCTAGGAATCAGGTGGGCATAACAGAGATGAAGACCTCTTACAAATCTTTAAAACCTTTTAAATTCCATTGTCAATAAGCTCATCCTCAATAAAGCTAAACTCCTTAAAAAGAGGCAACAGAAGAAATTAATATCACATTCCCTGTACAAAGAGAAATTGTTAATGTTGATCTACTCTTATTATCTTCAAGTAGCTGTACAAAGGAATTGCCATTTAACAAAGCAGTTGAGTACAATATATCTTATCAATGTCAACCTTTCAACATTCTCACCCATTCCTCCGCTACTCATTCCTTCCCTTTCTTTCCTTAATTTTGTGGGATATACATTAAATTCTTGACTGCATCCCCCCCCACCCTCTCCTCTTCATTTTTCCACCCCACTTTTGTGTAGTATCTGCTTCCTGGAGTTATTTTGTTGAACTTTGACTTTGCTTTTCTAAGGATTACACTATGTGAATTCTTCCTTGAATATACTATATTTCAATTAAATCACTTGTATAGACTTGCATACCACCCAACATAGATATTTATAAGTTTGTAGGTTGAATCTAGCTTCCACTTATTAGGGAAAACATGCATCTTTTTTTTCTCTGGCCCTGACTTCTGTTGATTAGCTGTTTAATCCAAAGCATTGTCAAGAAACAGTGAGGAGCACAGAGAAGGGATGTAGCTCACTGGTAGAATGCTTGTCTAGAATGAGAGACTCAGCACTAAGGACAAAATAACAGTAGAGGGCTTGCCTAGAGCAAATGCATCTTCACAGATAAAACAGTGTCTTGGTCCCTGGCTGGCATCAATAGTAGCAGGAATAGATCAATGGCTAAATAATGAAAGAATAAGGAAAGAAGGAAGGGAAAATGAAGACAACTTAAACAATAAAAACCACAAAACAAAGCAGAAGCCCTGGGCCAACTAGAAAGGGAAAAGAAAAGAAGCTCAACTCTCCTGGTTTCTTTTCAATTTTTTTCTGTTTAAAAATGTTCAGGAAAAAAATCATAACGTATCTATCATATAAAGTTTTAACTACAGGAGTTATGTTTTAAGTTTATGTCCAAAGTCAATGGCAAATTATTATCATTACTAAATTTACATTCAATTATATTACTGTAAGAGATAAGGTTCAACTCTGGCAAAAAAAAATGGACATTAAACAAGAAAATTAAAATGTCCCTAACTCAAAATAGAAATGTTTTCATTAACACACTTTAAATATATGTTTAAAATCAGAATAATAAATTTAAATCGTAATAGGACAAGATGGAAAAGCATTTATTTTCCAGGTAATGTAAGACACATGCATTTCTGCATTTATAAAACATCCCAGTTGCTGAATTTTGATTCAATTTTATTGACATATGTTTGATAGACCTTAAGTTTTAAGCATGTTCTTTTAGTAAAATGTCAATTTGCACATATATTTGATTTGCTCCCAGTCTTTTTTTCCCATATGTTTATTGACTTTTAAGCTAGTCTCTCAGGTTCTTTAAAATTATTTCCTCCTTCATTTTTGATGGAGACTGATTTAACTCAAGTTATACAGCTAAAATTTAGTTATAAATAAATAAACACAATGTTTACTGTACTAAAAGTCAGAATTATAAAAATAACAACAGAATAATATGTTACTCTGCACCATATAAAACACTTGGTGAGTAACTCAATTAGTCATCTTCTATTTCAGAATAGGGACTCAACATAGTGTTGAGTAATTTCTTGTGGATTTGAACGTGTTTTTGCTGAAACCAATTAAAGGTGATCAAGTCACAGAGTGATATCTCCCTGAGGCAAAGGTACTTGTAGAATTTCTGTTATTTAGCTAACAACATCTCTCACTGAACTTCCCCCATCCATTTTTATCACATATATGTTAGTTTAGGAAGGGAAGAGAAAGATCTTTGGAGGCATTATGACGCAAAACCAGGGATATAAAAATTGATGTCTTGTGTTCTCTATATAGAAGTATCTTTCAGTTTACCTCAAACAACTGTTTAATGGTATTTTGATTAGCATAAGAGTAGTCATCTTGTCTCACACTTTGTCGTACTGCTAGAGATAGAATAAAAAACTTGTGTTCTTTACCTGATTCAAGAATGCACAGATACTTAACAAGAAAACTGGAAAGTAATTTTGAATTGGAACAGGGTCCATAAGCATCATCTAGGGGTGAGGAAGAAAGTTTGAATCTCCAAGTTTTTTACATTCTGCCATGTCGGATCCCAGTCGCTCAGGTAACTCCAAAACCTATTGTCTGATTTGTTGTTAGTAGCTGGCATCCATTCTGATTGGTTGTTGTACTTATTCTTATTGGACTTTTTTTATTTCACTCCCTTATCTAGGTAAAAAAAATGATGTTAGAAACTACTCAAGTTTTGCTGTATAACTAAAACTTTTTACAATAACTGCAATGAAGACCCTGAACGTGTCTATCACTCCCAAAAGTTTCCTTCTCCTTTCTGTTATTTCTGCCATCTGATCTCTCCTCTTTTCATGGATGATCTGTTTTCTATCACTGCAGATTTCTATCTTTCACTCAGCACAATTTTGCTGCTACTTTTACTCTGTAAACTGTTCTTTACTGAGTAATATTCCGTTATTAGAATAAACTACAATTTGTTTGTCTACCTATTCATGAACTATTGCCTAAATATTTAAGGTTATTAGAATTATGTATGATTGTTAATGGATGTACAATTGTTATTCATTTTGTCTGCTTGGTTTTTGAAGCATAGTTAGTAGTGTACTATGCTATGTGTTCAAAGATGAATTTTGTTTAATTATTCAAAGACCATTTTATTTTAGACTTCAGATTCCTTTATACTATTTAATATTTACTGCTACTGACCTTTGTAATTACTTCTGAGAACAAAAAGCACTACAAGAAGTTCACAAAGGCTGAAGAAGTTAAACATTTGAAAACAACAGCACTAAATTACTTTTTTCCATATGTACCTGTTTTATTAAAATCAACATTTTATAAACTTTTAGTGAAATGTTTTAACAGAAAATATGTATCTCAACATAATGAAATGTTTTAAATGAAAAACATACATCACATTAAAGTCAGAAAAAACATATACATGGTCATGACCTACACTCCTACTTTATTTGTCTAGATTTTATTAATCATATTAACTCAGCACTATTTGTATTTTAACAATTCTTTTTTATTCAAATTTTATTGTAAAGGTGGTTCATAGAAGGGCTACAGTTACATAAGTTAAGTTTTGTGTGCATTTCTCTTTGAACAATA